TAGAGATGAGGAAAAGCCCTCTGCTCTAAGGACGCATCTTCCTCTGCTTCCCAAAGGCCTGGAGAACCGGGAGGGCAGCAGGTTTCTAGGCTGAAAACCAAGACCTCGTTTCCGAGCAGCAGCAGAAGGCCGGGTCTCCGGGCCTCACCTGACCGGGGCGCACCCGTGGAAACAGCTGGGGAGAGGCAAACCCGCCCCGGCCTCAGCGTCCACAGGGGCCGAGAGGGAGGAGCCAGGACGTGCCTGACGCTCAGGGAGAAGTCTGGGGTCCCAGCGTCCCTCTGCCGCCCCTGTGGCAGCGCCCTTTTAGGTTTTAACAGGAGTTTAATAGCTTTCCATTCCACAACCATTTAAACACTTAGATCTGTGGTCAGTTGGAGCCGAGCGTGGTGGCGCACATCCGTGATCCCAGCACTCCCCGAGGAGGCTGAGGCAGGAGGATCGCCTTGAGTTTGAGGCCAGCCTGGGCTACATAGTGAGTTCAAGGCCGGCCTGGACTACAAAGAGAGACCCTGTCAAACCAAACCAAACCAAGCCCAGTGAGAAGAAATCGGATCCCAGGAAAGGACTCAGCCTGCCGCGCCCTCCTGTCCGCCCCGTCGTGTTCCCCAGGCTCCACGGGCCCAGGGCCGTCTCCAAGCCCCCTCGGCCTGTCCCCTTCTCCGGGGCCCAGATGCTGAGGTCACAACTTGCGTGGGGACCTCACAATCCTGCAGGCCCGGCGAGCGCCCCCGGAGGGCTGGCGAGGCACAGCGGGGTGGAGGCCCAGGGCTGGGGGCCAGAAGGCCGCACGGGCGGGGGGCGCAGGCCACGCCCCGCCCTGACCCCAGGCCCCCAGGGGCGCCCCGGGGACCAGGCGGCGACAGGGGTCCCGGTCCGTGGGTGCTGAATGGGGCCGCCCAGCGCTCCGGGGCGGACACGGAGACGGGCTTCCTCCTGGCTGCGAAGGTACGGGGTGCTGGGGGGCGGGGCCCCGGGGCTCTGCGGGGGCGCCCAGCACGGTGTCCCCAGAGGACAGTCGGCCACCAGGCTCGGGAAGACTGAGGCCTGGGAGTCTGGACTCCTGTTATTTGAGTCACTCCAGACTTAGAGACAGCACTTTCTTTCTTTCTTTTTTTTGAGATAGGGTTTCCCTATGTAGCCCAGGCTGCCCTCGAACCCGCAGAGATCCTCCTGCCTCAGCCTCGGGAGTGCTGGGATCACAGGCGATCTCTACTATGGCTGGCTCCATCTTTTAAACGTGACTGGATGCTGGGTGCCTTCTCCAGGGGCTCTTAAGAATGAAGAATATGACCCTGTTTCCAAAACGCCGATTACACAATATGCCTGTCTTTCTTTCTTTCTTTCT